GCCAATAATTCGTATTAAAACGAGCAGCTTTCAGGATTTGCCGGAGATGCCATTTTATTCCATCTATGCAGGTTCAGACCAGAGATTCTCACTCTGTATTTTTAGTCAACTCTCACTTCACGGTAAGCTAATCTCATTTGGATCCGTGATCCGAAGATCTAATGGACAGTGAAATTTTGTGGATATTCAGTGGTTGGTAGGTTTGTAGATCAGTCCACAACTTCGATATATTTGCACTACTTTCAGATATTGTCTAATGATGCGCTCTCCTGTCTTGTAATTAATTCGTCCTGAAATTTGACCAGAACCGTCCAATAACAATTTAGCCTACTCAATTCGACCTTCGTTAGTTTCTGCTCTGCCAGCAAGGCGTAAGAGGGTTGTAACAGACCAGGGTGTGATCGGTGTCGGAGGACATGTTCTGTACGGTTCCTCGCTCTGGTATGCCATGTTGATACTACCTAATTTGGTAATTGGCCTTGGTGTTCTTTATTATATGCTCGACGGAAGCAGCGTGTGCTCAATACAGGATCAAAAGCATATCCTCAGTGTCCGACCAGCGGCGTTTGAGGCTACCCCCCCCCCTCTAGATAAGTTTCACTCTTGGAAGTATCGTCAATCTTTGTATCAACGCCTGTTGTCAAAATTTCCGTTTGATCTTTCTCCGGGGCTCGTTCGTTTCGTCTTAAGACCTGTCTTTTGTATCTGGACTGCACCCGGTTGAAGTATATGCCGAAGTATACAGTAGACGGCGATTATCGTTGCACCTCTTTCTCACTTTGCATCATCCTACTATTCTAGCGGAGTTGGGCTGAGCACCTACTAGAATCCAGTTTGAAACTGACCTCGCCTTCGTTAGTCAATGCTACCTTCACACTGACCTGTTCAGTAGATGCAGCCCCTGGATTTGCTCAAAGACGGACAAAATGTTGTTTTTGCCGTATGGAGAAGTCAGGGGCATAACAGAACTGGAATTATCAATTTCGGTTTCTTAGATGTCTGGGACATTCACATCGAAGTCCTCGAAGATCTTGACAGTTCTATGCGATTCCATGGTTGTCCGTACATTAAGCTTTGCAAGCCTAAGTGAGCGAACGAAGATTTCAGATAGCTTATTGACGTCGTTATTTGTGATGTAATACTCGCTGGTCACCGGTTCACGATTGTTACCCTGAGAAGAGTAAACGTTGGGATTATAACGGGAACGTTGGCTTTGTGTCTGCGATCGTTGTGAGTTAGTTGAGTCGTTCGAAGAGCCTTGAGAGTAATGTTTCGTTTTGAGATAGCACTATTAGGTTGCTCAGGCTGTGGCTGGTTATCTTCTTAGAGGATAACCACTTTGAGGTATCCAAAGGCCGCGGACTAGCGTCAGCAGCTGGGGTCTCATGATTGCCGCCAACCCAAGTGATTCATACACCATCCGTGTACTGCAGTTCCTACCGGTCCGTGAGCCCTCTTTTTGAAAGTGATGGCTCGAATGACTATTTTTAAAAGGTCTGTTACATCAATCTTTTTCACGACCGGTTCTGGGTTTGTGGCTTTTAGAAGAAGTCAGGCGGTCAACCCGAAACCCATCAGACTGGTTGTCCTCGATGTTTGCCCCGGTTAGCCGCAATTCAGTGGTCACCAATCTTCCCAAACTGATGAATTCCCCTATTCACAACGCAGGGATGTGTCTGATCGCTTGCAAGTCTGCTTACTTGTGTGGGGTTTATTTCAGTTTCTGGTTTGATTTCCAGATGCCATATTTGCAACGCCTTCCATAAAATTAAAAAGTGTGTTGAGGATAAAATTCCGGCTATCGTTTTTTTCCGAATCCCTCATCATCACATCTTTATTGAACCAGTTGTTTGTTAAAATAAATGAAATCAACAATTTTGTTTATTGGATTCTTCATTGTCATCAGTTTCTCTTTGGTTCTTCTGACCCTAGTCCTTTTTGGTAATAATCATATTTTCGTCTGGTTGATTCTCTTATAATCTGTCCCATTTGGCCCTTCCTGCTGCATAGGTACTCAGTCTGATGCTGCGCGAGAATTTGCATCAACCGCAATATGTGGAAAAAGTGGAACGAGTAATCCGTTTCATGATCAAGCACAACTATCTGACCAAATCCGATCTGGATCGCATCTGGGACGCACAAGATGGAAAGCATGAAGCGATCGTGAAAAACGTGTTCGATATGCTGGCCAAACTGGCTTTGGAATTCACTCCGGAACAGCTGGATCATTTGTTTGTCTGTTTTCAAGTGTGTTTCTTGTTACTCTTAGTATTCGTTCATGCTTCGCAGAATTAAGGATGAATCGTAGTCATTTGTTTTTCGGCCTATTAGTCTGGATAAGTATACTGTCAAATCATAGGATAAGACAGATTCGCTTACTCACCCAACAATCCTGTTTTCCTTAACTCAGTCATGGATATTACAATCATAGAAGAATATTGCCATTCGGCATTTTGGAAAAGGCCTGTATAACTTGATCCATCCGCATGACGTTTTAGTGTGGAGTAATGACTTGGGTAAGTTGTCTCAGTGACAAAGCACCTTAGCCTCTTACCTTCCAGATGCAAAATGCTGCTGACCGATATGTATAGACGCTAATGTTATGCTTTTTTAAGTAATTGAGGGAATGAATGACTTTCTGTTGGTGTGTTCTCCGAAGTTGCATTGATTATGTTGCCTAACCAGGCTACAAAACGTTTGCGAACAACACTTCCAGCTGGAAGAGCACGAGAACACCAACATCCACATCCAGAGCTACATTCATTCCACATTATCACCGATGAATGACTGTTTTTCCTCCGTCAATAGTTATATCACCTTGCTTGACGATCTTATGGTGTGTACATCCGTAGTATGATTGGTCATAAAAAATGTTGCTTGCGTTTTGCTTGGTTTCGCAAATGTGTTTTATCCAGTTTGTTGAAATATTAATACGCGATTTAATTTCCCCATCGAATAAACTGTTGTTTGTAGTTGGTCTAAGTACTACAATGCTTGTGACTTACGAATTTTCTTCCGGTTTTCCCTCGGCTATTATATTTTTCTAGCGAAGCTGGGCGCACGCAACTAAACGCCAATGCGAACACCTGATCGATCTGATCTGTCGATTGGCTGAAGAAGATCGAGATGGTTTGATGGCTCAGAAAGTGTTGGACCTTCTATGGGATTTGGCGGTTGATACTGAATCTTCCGTTGAGATTAGCGATTTTGCACTGAAAGCTCACGCAAAAATCCTGGATCATAATACGTCGGTATGTTTAATAAAAAGAAACGAAATAATCCTCATTTCTCGTCATTTGATATTTCGACAGGACGTTTTTCTCATTACTGATAAAATCCCGTGGGTTCTTTCTTGCTTGGAATAGATACTGTGTTTGTACACTTACGTCTCTCGAGGTAGAACCGTTGAGGGAAAGGATACAAGGTATATTGTCATCGGCTTGTACCGAATCGATTTACTTTAGCGACGAGTATCTCCATTATCGCCTAGATCAATTCTACAACTTACATTATCCATCACGCCCGGTTCAATTATCTCACCAAATGATAGATACTAAAGCGATGATGATGCTAGGTTAATGAGTATGTGCACTCCAATTCACAATGGTGCAATCTATGACCCAATCAGGGTCCCATTAGGTGTTGCAGAACACTGACTAAATGTGCATCATTTGACACGCATAAACTCCGTAACCTTGTTTATCTATTTTTGCGAGAACGGTGAGAAAGATACCTTTTTATCAAGATGAAGACTATGAGTTTTCTTCGAGAAAAGCATTATATTTTCCAATTTGGGTATCATCTATGATCAACAAGTTATGTCACGATTTGCTACTTGATCGTGACACACTGTGTTCACCGGTTTGGTCATCATCGTCAGCTTCGTTTTCTCATAGTTGGTCACCTTTCGCTTTGCACTTTTATTTTGAATTGTCTTTATCTAATGTTTGCGTATATGAAAGAATTTTGAATATCATACAAGCGAGGTTTGTTTGGAACTAGATGATTGAGCTCCAGCGTTCTCGCTTAAAGACTAGAGTATCACCTGACCAAATGTCATCGTCATCATCATCACCACCGCACAATAGAATATCGTGATGCAAGTGCACCGATCACAACGTTCTTCACAACTTGCATATAAAGACCAATGAACGGATGGTGGCTCATATACAACACACCAACCCATGGATTACGTTGGAAGGAAAGCTAACTATCGTTGTCGACGAATGAAGGACGCAGACGGTAATTGGCCATAAACTAAACAGTGCTAAACAGGCAATAGCACTAACATTGACGGAAAGAATAATAGAATGGGAAATGAAATTCCTGCTGATCACTTCATCTACAGCCGCTGGACTCACTGGGCTTCAAACCATCCCACCGTCTCTCAATTCTGCTTGCAACGACTGCATACTGATGCAGCCATTAATATCACTAAAAAACGGAGTTGTATACTCATATCCTTTTGGCATACCTACCTGAGAGCGCTATGCTGGTCGGTGACCAAATTACCTGGATCACGGTCGAAATGAGTTAGTATGCGATTGCACTGTTATGGCACGATCGTAATTTGCTCCACTTGCCTCGGTCTGTCCGTCGCAGTCATATGCGGTTGATTGAGTGAGATGTGGGCTTTAGTTTTCAGACACACTGTCGTTTGGGTTTCAAAAAGCACTGTGCCGGGTTGGTTGGAGACAGTGAAGCACACAGCAGCTAACCGACAGCGATGACGTGCTTGTGATTGTTTTTTATCGAGTTAGATTATTTGGAGAAGTGATTTTGCACCGTTCGATTGTCTATATTTTAACCGTAAGTGTTCCATTGCTTTACCGTAAAACAAGATCACTTTCTATCCACATTAAATATCCTTACTTACATTCACAAGCAAGTCCATAAATGTCTACTTTCTAATTGCAATGGGCTTGAATAAACGAAAACTTGACGGGGTTATCAAAAGGTTTGAGTTTAAGAATTAAAATGATTCTGGATATCTCTCTCCTCCAGGAGGCGAGTATTGACCCAAAGGGTCACTAGTAGCACGAATTTCTGTTGATGACTATCCTTAAAATAAAGTAATTGCGAAGCGAGTGTGTGCTGTCCATCCAATCTTTCCAGATTTTAGTTTTCGGCATTCCATACCAACCTGGCATCCAGTCCACCAGATGCACATAAACATTACCACCAGTCGCGTCAAAACTGCTAGTAACGAGTAGTGTTATCGCGGTACATGTCCGATGATCGTGTCGTGTAGTTGTTGTGTACTCATACTGATTGTTGAAAACAAACCAATAATCTTGTTTCTAAGAGGCAAAGAGAAGTAAAACTAAATAAACCCCAGTAAGACTTAATTTATGATGCCCAGTGATGTTCATTGCACCCATGATTTGGTCGATCGAGTTCACTCATTTTTTCCATTCTCGCAGTATACGTTTAGGGCTTTATGAATCACTCTTAGAGGAGAGCATAAGTGATAGAAAGCAGGAAGTATAATAACATTCTGGTTCGTGACAGAAACACGACTTTGTTTTGCGAGAATATGCACAGTGAATCCGGAATCCGACTTTCTAAACTCACGGGATTAATCAGTTGATAAGAAACGTAATGCGCATGATTGTATAACGGACAACCCGAGGTGAGTGGAACAGGTTGCGCGCATATAGCAGTCAAGAATACATATATGTATGTTCACTAACCAGTGCATGAACTGAATCTCGTCGTATGACCCGCGTCATAGAGGAGCGCGAAGTTTAGCAATCACATCGTAGTTGTGTTTTAATCATTCAGAAACCAGGTAATATGGTTGTGAGACCTTGATTTTGCGAGTAGAAGATATCGGACGACCGGAGGTTCTCGATTATCAGTGTTTGCGTAGTCTAGCCTACGTGGAATGGAGCGAACGGATTAGCAATGTGGAGATAAGTCGTCGTGTGTTTGGGAGTTTATCAAGGTTAAACCTACTAGCACATCGAATTCAGATTAGTGGGCTTCGCTGGCTAGGGCACGTCTTGCGTATGCTCAGCTGTTGTCTGCCGCTCCGCACTTTATTCGCTGTGGTCGTTCCGAACTGCTGGGAACCACGTGGACGTCAACGGATGACGTGGAGACCAGGCATGAAGAAATGCACAGAGCCATTAGGTAGAGTAGGTGTCTCGCGCCTTCCAGGTCGGGGCCCGAAAGACTCCACAACTGGTAGGTCGGAGACATGGAAGGATATGGCAGCGAACCGACCGCAGTGGCATTCTTGTTGTCATTTCTTATCAGACCAGAACGCTTGAAGCGGCATGTATGCATAGTTCGATTGTGTACTCCGTAAGCTGTTCCATCTCATCCGGGTCACCGGTAGGAAAGCCTTAGGTGTGAGCGAAACGATCTGCGAAGCTGACGGTTTGCCCATTCA